CCATTGCGTTTTGTTTAGCAGAGTTAAATGAAGTGGGTTTCCTCATTTCCAGGTCCATTGCTTCTTTAGTCTTTCTTGGTCCATCATTTTGGGTTTTAACTTTAACAGAATTCACTATCTYTATTTTCATTTTTCAGGCATCTTTTACTGTTCTTGTCAACAATACCACCACCACCACAATCTCCAGCAAGGAAAATTAAGAACAACATCGGGTTTTTGTCTATTACTTTCGTACCGTCGTCATTGCCCGAGAGATCTTTGGATCTGATGAAGGAAATGAGGAATCTTGGTGATGTCTTTCAAGGTTCTATTCTGGATTCGAGAAGGACATTTTTTTTTTGAAACTTGAGAAGAACATTTGTTGAAGTCGAGACGATACAGAACGAGAAGAAAAAGAGGAGAGATGTTGTTGAAGATAGTTTTCTTGATCTGGAGGCATAATTGGACTCTGTTTTCAAATGCTTAGTTAAAAACAGAGTTTTGCTTCTTAACATCTTCAGTAACTGTTGAGATAGAGCTTTTTGTCAATCAGATGTACATCTTTTTTCTCAAATTGTTTTGCTTGCCAAAATAACAACTCAACAAACCTCAGGTTTGCACTCTACTCAAAGGAATAAAGCTTTTCTGGCATCGATCCGTGAGAAAAACAAAGTCAAAATCTTCGAAAATAATTATGATATGGAAGTTTTGGTATGGAAATGTCAATATTATAAAACAGTTGTTGAAAACATTGAGTTTCTCATTTAGTGTATAGTTAAAGATTTAGCCAAGAGTTGTTATCCACACACAATTCATATAAAAGCAAGATCAAATATAAAAAAAAAGGTGTTGAATTTAAGCATCCGTTAGCGAATAAAGTTTGTCTACAGTAAACATTGTTAAATTTACATATTTTATGAACATCTTTCGCACTATATATAGTGACAAATATTTGCTCATCATGTAATGAATTGGTTTCAAAGCTTTTTTTGTAAAGTGACTTTGTAATCTCGATGAACTCAATGAAACTGTTAGTCAGAAAAAAAAACTTCAAGTTTGTATAACTGTAATCCGGCTTTGACTTAAGGAGAAAATCGATTTTTGTATTAATTTCTTTAACCTCATGTTAGTACAATAATCCAAAACAAAACATTATACTGGCTCATTTAATCATGTGAAAACAATAACTTGATGTTAAAGTATTGCAACCTATTGGAACCTATTACTTTGATCAATTAGATGTGATTTCGGTTTTCACCAAAATTTCGAACCTGGTTTTTTTTCATTTTTTTTGAAAGTCAGATAGATGGTTTGCATCTAATAGATCTACATAGTATATGATCAAAAACTGATTTCAAAATTGAAAATTTATATATACATCGACGTTTTAATAAACAAAAATATGAATTTCGGAGATTAGTCTTGATTTTGACAGAAGTGTAGAATGAAATCTGAAAAACCAGTCATATGGACAAAATCAGAAATTCTAGTATATCTAATATAATAATGAGGACCCCAAGGATTATATTAAAGTGGTAGGATTCATTGTTCGGCAATTATCATAACTTAATTGTTTGCAAAACAGCATATTCTGAAACACACAACTTTAGTTTACACACATTTTTTTTCTTCTCTTTGTTAAAACTAAACACCTCTTCTTCTAGATAGATCTTATCCGACTGATAATTGGTGTGTAAGACCATGTTTATCAATGATACGGTTGAGAGTTTCAAAAAAAAAATTAATT